CTTACTCAGGAATAACTCATTTAAAAATTTATTGATATTTTTGGGTGTATTTCATACAGAACATCCCAAACAATCTTATTAATCTTTATACCCACAACCCAAATGGCACCCTCCCATACGCCCCTGTCTCCGCCACCCCCTTCCCCGGCCACTGAAGCCCATATACTCTGTCATCCCTGTTAACACTGTCCACTGTGTTATCAGTGCCCCCAGCCGTTACTCAGTGCTAGTCCATCCACTGGCTAGTCATCATTTTTTTGCTTGCTTGCTTGCTTACTTGATTTTAAGTAAGGCATTATATATTTTATCTTTAAATATATGTTACAAGGGGCTGGAGAGATGGCTTAGAGGTTAAGAGTGCTTACTGCTGTTCCAGAGGACCTGAGTTTGGTTTCCAGCATCCACCTCAGCAGATCACAACTGCCTTTAACTCCAGCTCCAGGAGATCTGACGCCCTCTTCTGGCTTCTGAAGGCACCTGCAGTCATGTGCACATACCTCCACACAGACACACACACAAACACATACTTACAAATAAAAATAAATCTTTAAGAATGCTACAAAATGTGGGGAAATAATAAAAAAGTTTCTAAAATCAAAGTCCCCTCATACTCTCATTATAACATTTTATTATTTGTTCCTTTATTCGTGTGCAAATTTATCTGTGTTAAACATGGTACAGGTTTGTACATAGATAACTCACTGTCATCTAATGATTATCTTTGGCTCTGAAATACTTTTTTGAAGTAAATTTCAAGAACCATGGAAATTCAGAAAGTAATAAAGCCATCATCCATGGTAGCCGTGGTTTAATGCTGAATGTACTGTTATAGCACAGTACCAGCAGACTTTTTTTTTTTTGTCAGCACTAAAGGAAAATAAAGTGTTGCTTTTCCTCCTGTGTCTCTCTCCAGGGACAGGGAGGACCGGACTCACTTCCTCTGTTCTTAGGGGTAGTTTGCTGTGTGGATTTTCAGCCTGCACACTTCTACTTTCACCTCTATATGTGTGTTCACTAACCTCTATCTTTATCTGAAGATAGAGGGAAACTTCTTTGTGTTTTTATTTTAAAGAAATTAACCTTATCAGCCTTTTTCTTTCTGCTTTTTAGCCCTGTTGATTACTATAAGACAGATTTCTGATATTAACCATATGCCTGTCATTGTCTACATGACATAGTTTTTCTAGTATTTCATGGTATCAGTGTTTTACTATAAATTTCTAATGGATCTGAGATTCGTTTTGACCCATTTTAAGAAACTATCATTTTAAAATCTTTAAATATCAATACTTAGGAGACTGAGGCAGGAGAATCATGAAATTGAGAGAAGCCTGGGCTACATACTAAGTTCATTGTCAACTGGGGCTACATTGTGAGACACTGTATGAAAACATTAAAAGTAAATAAAAATTAAACATTAATAGATGTGATAAAGTGCTTTATATACATGTATGAAAATGTCATAATGAAACACATCTTTGTCAATTAATAAGCAATAATAAAACATTAAAAGAAAAGCTTAATACATATGATTGCTTATTATGTTAATTCTATAGTCTTAATTGAGACAATTTTCCTCATTATTCTGTTTACTTTTTTAATTATGATTTTATTTTATTTATTATTTTTATTTTTATATGTGAGTATATTGCCTGCATGAATGTAGGTGCACCCGTGTTGTACAATGCCCATGGAGGTCAGAAGAGGGTGGTGGATTCCCTGGAACTGGAGTTAAAGATGGTTGTTAGCCACCATGTGGGTGTTGGGAATTGAACCCGGGTCCTCTGTAAGAACAGTCAGTGCTCTTAATTGATGAGCCATCTCTCCAGCCCCTTAATTGTGATTTTTTTTTTATAAAATACACAGAAGCTGCTATCCAACTTCCTATAAAACTGAAGTATGAGGTACAGCACTGTTAACTGTGAGCCCAGGGTCGTTCTACAGATGTCAGGAACCTTCTCATTTGGCATGGCTGAAGCTTTGTACCACTGAGCAGTCACTTCTGGTCCCTGTACCACGAGTCCTGACAGTCATGTTCTACAGTCCCTTTTGGTGAATTGAACTACTATGGACATCTCATGTGAATAAAATCAGGCGATATTTGGCCTTCTATAACTCTGGCTGCATTTTTTTTTTTTCTTTTTCACATCTAGACCTTAAGAAATGCTCGTTCAGATGAAGATAAAGATGGCAACTGGGATGCTTGGGGCGACTGGAGTGACTGCTCCCGGACCTGTGGGGGAGGGGCCTCCTATTCTCTGAGGAGATGCCTGATTGGAAGGTCAGTAGTGGCTTGGCTGCCCCTGTGTGGGGTGTGTCAGTGCCTCTGGGTGAGTGAGAAGGGGAGAAGATTTGGCTCTGAAGTGTTCCATTATGTGGCTTACCGTCTGCCAATATCAAGTTACCATATTTAAATATGAATGGTTCCATTTCCAGTGTCACTCTGTCCAGTCCACATGACACTCACAGGGCTCAGGAGCACCAGATACTTTGGCTCTGAGGAAGGAAAGGCCTGCTAAGTTCAGTTGCTGGTTCAACATTGTCAGGATCTGGGAGCAAAAGATTATATCATCTGGGTTCTGCAATTGTAACCCCCTTTTCATTCACTTACTCTAAACAGCCCATTGATTAAGAAGGTAATGCAGGGGCTGGGGAGATGGCTCAGTGAGTAAATTGTTTGCTGCACAAGCACAAGGATCTGAGTTCAGATCCTTAGCTCCCATATAAACGTTAGGAATGTTGGTATATATCTGTAACCTCAGCAAAGTGTGGATAGAAACATGTGGATCATGGGGGCTCGCTGGCCAACATTTAGCCTACCTAAATGGTAAACTCTAGGTTCAATGAGAGACCCTGACAAAATCAATCAATCAATCAATCAATCAATCAATCAATCAATCAATAAGTGAATAAATAAATAAATAGGAGAGCTACAAGGAAAACACCGGATATCAACCTCTAGCCTTCATGTATGCACACACAAGCAAGCACACCCATATACACATATAACACACACAGATATTTAAAAATATTAAGGTAATGGAAGTTCTATTTTTACCTCTTAGGTGTGTTTATACAAAATAACATTTCCTAAAATATAATATCAGCTTATTTTCAAAAACCCACAAGTCTGTAATGAGTCTGTACTTACTGTTTTTGAGGTGGTGATTCATGGATCAGTTTAAATCCTGGTTCTTAGGTAAAGCACAATGTAAGTTTGGAGGAATCTGATCTCTGGTCCTAGACCAAAGAGTCCAAGGTCCTGGCAGTCAACTTCAAATTTTGAATACTGTCAAGTGAAAGAGTAAGCTGATGACTCACTAATACCTCTGGATACTGAGAAGAAATGAGGAGGGGGCATGCTTTATGCTGCTCTAGTTTGTATTTCATGAAGATCTCTGTTTTATGGTACACTAAACAGTGACTAGTATGCCTTCCAGTTTCCTTGAGATAGTGCAGGGTCGATGAGAGGGAACACAGTGGCCTTTGAGGAGGACTCATTGGACCACCCCAAGGAGGCCTGGCAAAGCCGCTGGCAGCATGGTAGGAGCTTCATCCAGACTGACAACATGGATCTTAAGTAAACAGATATAGAACCAAATCCAGGGTTATTCTAGTGAAGACAAGTGGGAAGCCTGTTTCTCCATCTCTTTCCTTTTTTATATATTTTTATTTTATGTGTATGAGTGTTTTACCTGCATGTATGTAACTGCACCTGTGTGCAATACCCATGGAGGTCAGAACCCCATGGAACTAGAATTATGGACATTGTTACTGTTATGTGGGTGCTGGGAACAGAACTAGGGTCCCCCACAAAGGGCAGCTAGTGCTCTTAACAGCTGAGCCATCTCTCCATCCCCATGTCCATCTTTTTCCATCAAGGCCCTGTTACTAAGTGTGCTATGCTATGAGGAAGAATGATGGGGGTACCTTTTAGTATCAGGATATATTTATCCTACTGAGACCTGCCGGTCGAGGCCACATTCCTATGGACAAGGAGAGGACAGTGGCTTCTTGCTAAAAGATCCATGAATAATAATTTTCATTCCTTTATTATTGTAAATAGTTATATCTTATTGATTCATTTAAAAGATTTTCAGTCTTGCTTAGAATATAATGTTGCCGTGTGATGCATTGCTCAGGATGCATGTGAGCTCATGGTTTCTTTTTCCTAAACAGGCTATGATATGGATAAGGAGAGGCAATTGTTTCACTTCTTTCTTTCCTACTCCTGTTCAGAAAGGAGGGTTTGGGCAGAAGAGGAAAGGAACATTACTCTGTGGGCAGAGGCTGGTATTCTCTGGCTTGTAGGTGTTTAAAGCTAGCTACTAGTAGCACTTTGGTGGATTTCTCTGATCCACTTCCATGTTCTGCCCCCAGGCTCCTGGGATCTCTTGCCGCCTGTTCCCTTTATGTGTGTTATTCTGTATACTTTGTCTTGGTAACACTGCTTTTCCTCAGCTCATGAGCAAGTAGGCATGTGCCTAGCTTGTTTACCTGTATTACCCAAAGTGGCTGCCCTGGTGGGCTCGTAAGAACATCTCATGCTGGTTCTTTCTTACATGTGGCCCACAGGAAACCCTCATAGGTATATAGGCAAACAAACACTCAAAGTTCAGGGGTTCAACACAGCAATACCCACTTTGCTTACATGGGTTGCTACAGTTGGTCTCTCAGCCTTTCAGTTTCTTGGGTGTGAATTACCCATCAACCAATAGTAGGGGATATACAATGAGCTTTTCTAGTGATATCCCTGGAATTCCTTCTTCTGGGCCCGTATCTCCCTCCCATCTATATCAATCCCCCTTCTTTCCTACCAGACTCTTTTCCAAATATATGACTTTTGGTTTTGTTCTTTGATCCATTTAGTTCCATCAGGCCAAGCTATGTAAGCATGAAATTGAAACTGTGCCCTGGAAAGCCTGTTAGAATCCCAGTAGGTCACAACTGAAGGCAATGACTCCCCATCTCCAGGAATCTGTCAGTAGCAAATAATTGAGCAATGAGGGGTAGGGTCCCCTCAGCCCCTCCTCCTCTGTGTATGACTGTTGACTACCCCTTTTTTCACTGACCAGGGCAGGCATCCTTACCCTCTTTTTTATAGAGTACTTTCTCCTCCAAGAGCTTCATAGGTATCTAAAATGTTTTAATTGTCTCTTTAAACTTGAATGATATTTTTCCCACATATATGATGGTGTAGAAGTAATTTTCCCTGAGAAATTTGAAGATATTGCCACACCATCTCCAAATATCAAGTGGCCAGATTGAGAAATCTAAAGGCATCTAAATTCCATTCTTTCCTCCCCTTTAGATACTTATTGAAGAGCTGTTATGTCTTGAGGGGGCTCTGTGTTGCCCATTGTAGTCAGTGAACACTTTTACAATGTAAACTCATTTCTTTTGAGTTACTTCTTTTATGACTAATTCTTTAATTTCATTTATTTATTTACTTGTTTATTATGGCTGGAAATCCTATTATTCAAATAATTATTTTTTCTCTGTCTATTTGTTCTGCTTCCTGGGAGATTTTCCTAAATTTATTTTCCAACTTACTTATTCTCTCTCTCTCTCTCTCTCTCTCTCTCTCTCTCTCTCTCTCTCTCTCCTTGGTAACTTCTGTTCCTTGGGGGTGGGGTGGGAGAAACAGCATTCTGTTCCTGATTCTGAGTCTCTGAATCCTGTGGGGACATTCTCTTTTTGCATGGCATGTTCTCAGTTCCTTCCAAAGTGCTGTTTTGTCATGTTTGTTTTGTTACCATGTTTCATAGCAGAGACTTTTCTAAGGTTTGTGGAGATCTTGGCTGTTCTATTTTAGAATGTTCTGATTTTTCAGGCAGGGCTCTTCTGATTCCAGTATATGGGAAGCACATGGGCAGGAAGCTGGGGTCATGCATGACTCCCTGTTTTCAGTAGAGTACGCTTGCCTTGGTACCAGTTATCTCTCAGTCCAGACACTTGTTTAATCTCTGGAGATAAGAACACAATCTTGTTGGGTTTTAAAAAGATTTATTTTTATTATTTGTGTGAGTATGCATGCGTATGTGTGCAGGTGCCCACAAAAGCCAGAAGAGGATGTCAGTTCCTCCGGAGCTGGAGTTAAAGGTGGTAGTGAGGTGCCTGATGTGAGTGCTTGAATTCAAACTCTGATCCTCTGAAAGAACAGCAAGTGCCTTTAACCATTGAGCCATATCTCTAGACCCCACTATTTTTTGTTTTTTACTGTTTGAGAATTTCATGCATGAGTATAATGTGCTTTGATCAAATCCACCTCCAACTTTGACCAGATGTGAGTCTCGCTGTTAATTACCATCTACTACAGAAAGACACTTGTCTAATAAAGACTGAAAGCTGTACTAACCTATGGGTAAAATAAAACTAAATATTTGGCAATTTAATATTTTGTCCATTTAGCTGAATAATAGTAGTAAGTTCTTACCTTAAATCAATTCATAAAGCAATTGGTTACTCCTAAAACGTTTGTGCCACTATTGTACCAATGGGCATATTTTTTTTGAGATAAGGTCTCCTTGTCACCCCAGCTGGCCTAGAACTCACTATATAGACCAAGCTAGCCTTGATCTCACAGAGATCCCCTGTCTCTGCCTCCTAAGTGTTGGGATTAAAGGTATGTGCCACCACACCCAGATGACCAGTGGGCATATTTTGCCTGGTTGGTCATTATTGTAGCTTGCAGAGTTCACATCTAGGGAAGACTGTTGATGGCTTTTCTCCCCCAGTAGCAGTACAACACCATCTAATGCTATGAAAGTTAGCTGGTAGGAATGAAACTTCCAGTTCAGTCAGTAGCAACTTGATTTTTTTTCCATGTTCTATGCTCAGGTATGTGGTATCTTTAACAATAGGGTCTTACCATCAAGTTGTGGAGGGTAACCAAGAGCAATGGCAAATATCCTGTATTGTTTTGGATGTCTGTGTGACTTCACTGACTAACAACGGAAAGTAACCGACACCTGGCATTTGTCTTTTTGTGTGTTAGGCTATCACATCCGGGAAAGGCTTTATCTCTTTGGATAAAGAAACTCCATTTAAACTTCCTTAATATATGCGTATGTTTTGGGAAGCTCCTACAGTAGCAGGCTTCCAAATGGGTTTTTCAAAGGTCTTTAGCATTAGTTAGCCCTCCATGAAGAACACAGTCTTTTGCTGCAATAAGGGAGGGAACTAGAGTCTAACTGCTGCAAAAAACCTTTGGGTTTTTTTAAAAAAATGGATTTTAAAATAATGTTTTTCACATATGTTAGTTATATATAATGATGGGTT